TCAAGTCTCCTCTCCTTCAGAAAACAAGTGGGTTTCAGACTGTCTACTAATAATGGAAGAAAAAGAACTGATTCAAATTAGGATGCACAAAATTAGCCTAAGCAATTGATGAGACAAGTGACAGGCTAGCAATTTTTGAGGGAACAAAAAATCTAAACAATTATAAATAGCAGTTGGGGATATTTGTTCTCTGTATAACATTAAGTTTTTGGAAAGAGACCAGCAATTTCCTAAGTATATTATAAAGCACATTTGTTCACTTCCTCCCAGTTTTTAAAGTATAAACAGGAACTCCTCTTGACTTTCCTAGGGAACCAAACAATTTTAAGAAAGGAAAATATTTCTTATTCCTATTGTACCCTAAATTTGCATATTGCTATATGGCTTACAAAGCATTTTTTAGTCTTTTCTCTTTTGATCTCCATTTCAGTCCTGTAAAGTTGGTATAATTACAACCCTTTACTTTTGCTGCTAAAGAAAAACAGCTAAAATACCTGTATATGATGGCTTTGCTAAAAAGTTGCAATAACAGAACTGGAACTCACATCATGTGACTGTAAGTGCTTTCTCCACTGCATTCTATACATAAAGCATTATGTAAATTCCAAATACACTGCCCAGTCACTCAAAAGTTTTCTTTGTCCTTCCCTCCTCTATGTCTTATGATCCATCCTCCCCCTCCAAGAAATGCACTGAAGGCCAGAATATTCTATATGTGTTTGTTTACTTAAAGATTTATATAATGAGGATAATAAAGTATTAAATACTTAAATCTGTCATAAATCCAATATATTATAGCTATTTTAAGATGTCTAGGTTCTTAAATTCAGGAATTCAGGAATTCAAGACCTTCAGCTCAGCCACCTTCCTCTCCAACAAAAGAACCATACAAAACATACGACCCACATTCACCTGTTACACCAGCTCTTCTCTCACCACTTCCATCCCTAGTAATGTCACTAGCTCTGTCTAGAACACCTTCTGCTGTCTACTATTGCCACTTAATAGAGCCCACTCATCGTTCCAGGCATAGCATAGATAATACAATCTCACTGAAGCCTTCCATCACAAGCTAGAAGTGATCTTTCCTTCCACTGAGTTCTTATAGCTCTATAATCATAACAAGACATTAAACATGTCCATAAAATGTAATTATTTGTGACACAGAATTTTTTTTTAATTACTCGAATAGGTCATACTCATTTCACTGCCAGATTCACAGCCTAGAACATTCTTTTCACTCCTTTTCCCTTGGCTGACTCTTACCTTTTTCTTCAAATCTCAGTTCACAGGAAACTTCCCTTAAAAAGCTTTCCTTCACTGCTCCCACCCAACCCTGGGCCAAGTGCCCATAGTGGATATGATCTCATTACAGCCGAGAGACTAACTGGCTGTTTACTTGTCTGTTCCTTCAGTAGACTCTAAATTTCAACAGAGACTCTACTTATTTTGTTCATAGTTGTATTTCAATAGTGCTGGGCATGTAGTTGGAACATTTTTAAATGAATTTACAGGTAAATTTTCCTTATTATCCTCACTGATTAATCCAGAGACAAATTTCAAAGTACAGGCCCTTGCAAACAGCATGTACTAATTAAATAATTGTTGCCTGAAATAATTGTAGTGGTAAATGGCTTAGATTAATTATCTTAAGCCTTCAAACGATATGGATTTAACTGAAAAACAGTATTAATATGAATACTTGATAATCTATTTAGAGTAAACAAGGATAAACATGTCAAATTGACTTGAATATGTATGGGAAAACTTATAACTGAATCAAAACTAAAGGGTACCTGGGGCATTGGGGTGGCTCAGTTAGTTAAGTGTCCGACTTCAGCTCAGGTCATGATCTCGCAGTTCGTGAGTTCGAGCCACGCAACTGGCTCTGTGATGACACCTCAGAGCCTGAAGCCTGTTTAGGATTCTGTCTCCCTTTCTCTCTGCACCCTCCCCCCATCAAAAATAAACAAACAGTAAAAAAAGTTTTTTTAATTTAAAAACTAGAGGTTTCCTTGACTTACTACAAATCACTTTATCACTGTCATTTGCACCTGCATTCCTCAATTCCTCCATTATTATTTATCTGTACTACAAAGCACTAAACTCCAAATTACATAGGCTCTTATCATCTGGGTCCAGTCTCAGTACTGTTTCAATGTACCAACTGCCACTCACCCATTTTTGCCATTTTAAAGCCTTCACTCTCACACCACAAGCTTTTCTCCTTTTTCTAGGATCTCTAAAATTTGCCTATCTCTTCCTCTTTCCAAATACTAATCATAGGTCACTTTTTCAATGACATCTCTCTCCATTCAGAAAAGCTTAGTTTAGGTTTACCTTTAATTCACTCACCATTCATCCATGAACACTCATTCATTCCTTCATGAGCACTTACATGGCAACACCTATGCACAGGGCAGACTCTAAATGTTCATCAGCTAACTGGATTCATGTAACCACATATACTCCCATATCCCAAACACTCTAAGCACAAGGATTGTAAAGATCTACATTAAGAATTATAAAAACTTCAGGGGCGCCTAGGTGGCTTGGTCATAGAAGCATTTGACTCGATTTTGGCCACGATCTCACAGCGTGTGAGGTTGAGCCCTGTGCTGGGCTCTGCACTGACAGCGTGGAGTCTGCTTGGGATCCTCTTTCTCCCTCTGCCTCTCTCTTAAGATAAATAAATAAACTTAAAAAAGAAAAAGGGTTATAAGAATTTCAGAGAGGTATGTATATCTGAGGAAAGCCTGATCAGCCTCTTAGAACCACTCATAATCATTAGACACCAGAAACAAGGTTAAAAATCTAAAGGATAGGCAGGGCACCTGAATGGCTCAGTCGGTTCAGCATCTGACTTTGGCTCAGGTCATGATCTCACGGTTCATGGGTTCGAGCTCTGCGTCGGGCTCTGTGCTGACAGCCAGCTCAGAGCCTGGAGCTTGTTTCAGATTCTGTATCTCCCTCTCTCTCTGACCCTCCCCTGTTTACGCTGTCTCCTCTCTCTCTTTCTCTCTCTCTCTCTCTCAGAAATAAATAAAACATTAAAAAAATTAAAAATAAAAATCTAAAGGATAGGCGCACCTGGGTGATTTAGTCAATTAAGCATTCAATTCTTGATTCTAGCTCAGGTCATGATCTCACAGTAGTGACATCAAGCCCCGCATCCTGCTCTGCCTGCTTAAGATTCTCTCTCTCCCTCTGCTTCGGTCCTTCTCCCCCAGTTCTCTCTCAAAAAATAAAAATTAAATTAAAAAAGAACAATACAGTTGTAAAGGATCCAAAGGAATGTAAACAGGCAATTCACAGAACACATATACCCCTGACAAACATACAACATACCTTATTTCACTAATAACTGCAAACTAAAATGATAAAATCAGATTCTCCTTTCCGTTTTGTATAAATGAAAAAAAGCTTTGGTACCCCTTACTGTAAGAGGGTACATATTAGGGTTAATACTGTAAGCTATTAACTAAAATAGCTTTTCTAGGAAACAACTGGCAAGACAAATAAAAATAAGTAATATGCAACTAGATTCTACAGATCTATCTAATATGCATACAGATTCTACATCTATAAATATTATTCCAGGAAAACAAAAGAAGTTAAATGTATACATTTTACCTGTATGTGTACATATAATTTTATTGCAGAATTATTTACATTAGTAAAAAAAAAATTAGAAAAAACACAAATAATACAGTAAATGTAAATGTATCTAGTCATTGGAATACTGGTAGCAGTTAAAACACACAAGGTAGAATTTTATGTGCTGATGTGTAACATTCTCAAGAAAAAAAAAAACACACTGTAGCTTAATTATGAACATACAGAAATCATCTCCTAGCAGAATCAGCCTAGTGACAATACTATATGGATAACAATGAACTCTACGTTATTTGCATATGACTCCCTGATGCCTCAAGACTGCAGTTGAAAATTTCTGGGCTAGATTATCCTAACAGGCCCTTCCTTCCAGCCCTAAAATTCTTTAAATCTAAGGATCTGTACAACACAGTTCTCAGACACACTGTTACTGCAAGGTCACAGCGGGTCTCCCATACATGTTTAAGTGCCCTTTATCAAAATACAACATAATGTTAAAAAGTGTCCCGTATTTTAAATCTGTGTTGCAAAATCTGAGTTTTTAACACTCTACCCTTGGTTATCAATTCATGTTGAATGTTGAATATGCATAATCTACAGAAATCACAAATATAACTACCTCTTATGTCAATAACGTAAAGAACATTAGACCTTAGAAAACTGAAAAAGCTAACAGAACCCTTTGAACATATAAAGAGACAAAAACCAGTCAACATTGCTCATGTGGTGTACCTAATCTAAAAATGCCAACACGAAATCAAATCTGACTAGAGAGCAATCATAAACAGCAATGGGGCCTCTTTTAAGTGGGCAGGACCGGGGACCGGGAATCAGCAGATCTGGAGACAAAGGCCAGTCTTTTGGCTCCAGATACCAAGAAAGCCAAAAAAAAAAAAAAAAAAAAAAAAAAAAAAAAAATTTTTCAAGGGAATAAAATTATGTGGTCAAAAAATTCACCTACATTTATTTGAGATTTAGAAGTAGAATAAGTGAAGGTAAAATAACCCTACTGAACCTCAACTGCTTCATTTGCAAAATGATAATAAGCATAATAAAAGTGTCATCGAGATAAAATGCAAAAGGTGCCTAATACAGTGCCTGGGGCAAAACAGGTTCTCAAATACTGGTCCAATGGAAACAGGTGCATCACTGTTGCTTCTGTTAAGGAATCTAGTTTGTTCCCCTGGATTTTTGTAACATCAAATCTATTTCGTTCCTCTGCATTTTTGTAACACCCCTTTCACAACCATCCTATTTTATCATTACACTACGTATTAGAAAGGAGTTTCTTGTCCTCCCTCCGGACTACCTACCTGCTGAAATATACTTACCCACAATATGCAAAACTTTGTTAGCATAGAAACTCAGGGAGAAAGCATACTTACAAAGCACAGCCCGAAAACTCCGTGCCGTTCTCCTCTGAGCTCAGTGCTCCTCTTTGGCACATATGTCTGCCTCCTATCATTTCTTCATGAGGTTCAGGGCAAAAGGCCTCGTCAAGTAGATGGTCTTCGGCTGCACTACCCCTTCCCCAAACCACCTACAGATAAACGAAACATGGGGGTAAAACACACCGACAACCTTAATTTTTTTATATAATGAAAGATCAAAATAAGCTCACCCTGACTACACAAAGTTACTGCGTATCAGAGAACAGAGCACATTACCCTTGGATCATGTATAAAAGCCCTAGTGAACTCACAGGAATTCTTCACATCCAAGTGCCCGGCCAGCCTAGTCTTCACTGGTCACTTCCTCTCATGCCCGGTCACCCCTTGGGCTGGAGAGGGTGAACTGTAGCCCAACTCTGGCCAAACTGTTCCTGAGCGGATCTATTAGTGGGTAAACTAACTAAGGCAGGTAATGAAATTAACATGCTACTTCTGAATTTAATGGCTCAGTTGTATTTCTAAGCCAGTAAGGGACTATCTGCTAACACTCCTAAAGGAAATATTTTATAAGCTGCCTAATTCTTCCCACATTTAGTATTGCAAATCAGTAAGTAAAATGCCTTTGGTTGTAGGAAAGAGCTATGGACAGAAATGTTTTCAATTCTTTGTGACTGCTTTCAAACTAATCTGCAAAAGCCCACCCAGTTATTCCGGTAATTGGTTATTGTCTAGAAAAAAAAAGCGTGTAAAAGTTAAATCAAAATAAACTGTTAGGAAGTTCAAAATGACCCAGATCATGCAATGACAGAGGACAGGCTGGGATGACACAGGTATGATGACAGGTATGATGCACAAGTCACTCTTCTAACGAGAAGGCAAACTTCCCCAGGTGAGTTATTGGTATGTCAATAACCCAAATTTTCTGTGCCAATATGAAACGGCCAAAGTTTTAATCTTCGATCTGTGCTGCGAATACAGTAGTGACTGGCCACATGTGGCTACTGAGCTCTTAAAACCTGGCCAGTACAGGGGCGCCTAGGTGGCTCAGTCAGTTGAGCGACCGACTTCCGCTCAGGTCATGATCTCACGGTTCGTGGGTTCGAGCCCCACGTCGGGCTCTGTGCTGAAGCCTGGAGCCTGTTTCAGATTCTGTGTCTCCCTCTCTCTCTGACCCTCCCCTGCTCATACTGTCTCTCTCTCTCTCTCTCTCTCTCTCTCTCTCGATCTCTTCTCTCTCTCTCTCAGAAATAAACAAAACATTAAAAAAAAAATTTTAAACCTGGCTAGTATGAAATGACACGTGCTGTAAGTGTAAAATACATAAAAGAATGCGAAGACTTAATGCCATTAAAAAAATGTTTTGAGAATATAAAATCTCATTAAATTTAATATTGACTACATGTTAAAATGAAAACGTTTTGGATATACTATGCTAAACAAATTCTTAAAATTAACTTCACCAGTTTCTTTTTACTTGTCTAGCATCAGCACCAGAAGATTTAAACTGGCGTGTGGCTCACATTATATTTCTATTACACAGCACAGACCTGCAAAATTAATAAATAAAATAAATACTGAGCACTTCTACTGTGTCAGGCCCGGTGCTACATACTCCACACAATACTGAGAACAGCTGCAAGGTGCTTTTACAAGACATCTGTGTAAGTGACTAAGCTTCATCAAACCAATAAAGGACGAGGCTAGAATTCAATGTCAGGTGTTCCTGCGAAATAACTCAAATAAGGGACGGTTAACAGCTAACGTTGCGGCAGCTTCCTTGATAGCCTAGGAAAGCCAAGTCACTGATACAGTGCTCCCAAGGGTAACAAACTTCTGTAACCATAGAAAAGGTCAAGTTATATCCTAAGCAAGTTAACACCAGAATGAGCCTAATATCCTTGACAGCTCAGGCTTCGCAGCTGCTAGCAACAAGACTAACTGCTCAAAAAAAAAAAAAAAAAAAAATCCTACGTAGTTCAAATTCCCTGGATGACTTGGTGGCCAAGACCTGAGGACACTCAAGCTGAAGGAAGGGGCGACGGGATACCAGGCACGCTGTCTCCCCTACCCTGGCAACACTCCACCCATCCAAGGCCCCACCCCAGATTTCCGCGTAGCTTTTGTGTCCCCCCAGGATCAGGGGAAGTGGGACCTAAAACGTCTACGATAGGATAAGGAAGTAGTAAAGAAAGGGCGAGGAGGCATTTGGGGGCAGGTACCTGAGATAGAAGCGGACCCTAGGTCCTTAAAGCCGGATCATCGCCGAGGCCCCTCCCGGCTCCCACGGCCGCCAGCGACCCAGAAGGTGCAACTGACCTGACGCTGCGGCGCAACCGACTCTGCTCTCCCCAGACTCGCAGCTATGGCAACTTGAACTAGCCGCCCAGCCACAGCGAGTGAACCAGACCCCGCTCCTGCCGCTTGGCACTCTGGGAGTTGTAGTCCATCTTGTCCTCAAAAGCAAGGAGTTGTCAAGGGAGAGAGGCCTTAGGAGATACCTCAAATCCCAGGATGCCATACGACTGGCCTTCGGGAGACTTTCCCGGAAGAAGCCGAATTTGCTGGCCCCTTGAGTCCCAGGGCCGCGCCCTCTTGCCCTGTTTTTTTTTTTTTTATTAAAGGGCCAGTGACTTCTACAGGAAGCAAACACCTGGTGGTGAATTAGCTGGCTTGGTCCTGACTGTAATTTAAACAGGAAAGTCCAAAATACTCACTTAAAAAAAAAATAAAAAGAATTATTCAAAGTAGTTGCAATAATGACAGACTCCGTTTCTTTTACTACTTTCAGAACAGGGAAGAGTAATTTCCAGAAGTGAAATGTACAAATCCCCTTATTACCAGAGCTCAATGTCTTTTTACTAAGATTCACAAATTCTTAGAACTGGAAGGGAACAGAGAATATTATCTAGTAAAACTCTTTAGGCCTAGAAGGAGTGAATGACTTACCCAAGATCACATAACTCATTAATGGCAAACCAAAAGTCTATAAGGCTGTCACTTCATGATTGCTGCTACATTAGGTCTAGAGTGTCATCTCCTCAGTCATTCTAGAACATAAGACAGACGTATGTCACTCAGAGAAGTCAGTTTCAGCTGAGAAAAGGCAATAAAAACCTCAGCAAAGAACTCAACTTTGGAAGAGCTAAGAAGTGAAAATCAATTACATGGAGAGCCTCATTTCTTTGTGCTCTGCCAAAAAGACCATTGATTATTTCCTCCTCAAAGCTTAAATCAAAATTACTTTATCTGTGAAAGCTTTCTTGGCTACCTCAAAAAGAGCTAGATCACATTAAATGCACAGTTTCCCTATTTTAATAAGTTTGTACTGTAAGTATCCATTTCCCAGTTGGTCTCTTCCATCAGACACAGTCCTAAGGCAGGATCCAAATCTTTCAAAATCAGTACCTCTTCTCAGCCCTTCCTCACTTCTCACTATCCCTTCATTTCTCTTCCTCTCTCTCGCTCCCTCTCATACACAAAATCATAAAAAATTAGCATATAAATTTTATATATTAGGATAAATCCAACATTTTCTCTGGCCAACATTGAGGGTAAAGTTTATGTCATAATCAGTTTGAACATAAAATAATTCTTCTAAAAATTACCTGTATATTTTCATCTATCTTCAAGCTACTCGCTCACAATTGTATTCCAGAATACACTCCACCTGATATGGAGATTAAGCTAATTCAGAACAGCCATAAAATTTCCCCATATGCATGCAGAAACATAATAACTCCTTTTATCTGTTAAGATTTTAATTTTTCAAAACAATTACATTCATTCATTAATTCAGCAAATGTATGCCATATCTTTCTAGCATCCAGACATTGTATTAGACACTAAAGATGCTGTAAATATGAGAAGATGAACATATTGCTCAAAGTGAAGAAACACACCATTTAACAAATTTCTGCAAATCTGAGTGATAGAGTACTGTGTAGGTTTCTATGCAGAGACATAAAATAGAAACTTTTTGAGGAAGTGATATGTGATCAAATGGGGGAAGAATAACTACCAAAAAAGCTAACGTCAGCATTAAGAAAAACTGTCAACAATCTCTCTTCACGGGTCCCACCATATTTAGAGAATAAATTAAATTCAGGAGATCCCATTTTTAAAGTGACATTAAGAAAATAAAGCAATCAAAAAACCCAACTGGGACTAATGGGTGGGGAATCAAATTTAAGTTCATTATGACCAAGATATTTTAAAATACACTATTAAACTACAGCAGCTTTTTGTCATATAGTGTGCTCTCAATCTACAGACATGACATCCAGAAAAAAAAAAATATAGTGGAATCAGATCATAGAATCTTTCTTCTTTACAAGATAGAGAAAATAAGAAAGCCAATAAAAAATATTTTACACAAAATGCGTCTTATAACCCTCAAATGACAGTCAATGCTTTTAACCAGTATGACAGACACATGTTATCCAACCCCAAAATCACACTCAAATTGAATCATCTGATTTTAAAGTTGGAAAAACCCACAAAGATTATCACCAGCAGTACCCTTCTTCTGCAAACAATGTAAATAGAAGTAAAGAGAGATTACATGATGTATTGCTTAGCTAGTACCATTATAATAAGACACCACAGAATGGGGGACTTGAAAAGCAGAGATTTATTTCTCACAGTTTTGGAAGCTGCAAGTCCAAGAGCAAGGTATCAGTAGGTTTAGAGTCTCCTGAGGCCTCTTTCCTAGGCTTACAGGTAGCTGTCTTTTCTCTTTGTCTTTACAAGGCCTTTTCCCTATGCAGGCAAGTGCCTGATGCCTCTCCCTTTTCTTATAAAGACACCAGTTATTTTGGATTAGGGCCTCACCCTTAAAACATCATTAAACCTCAATTACCTGCTTAAAGGCACTATCTTCAAATACGGTAATATTGATGGTTAGGGCTTTAACGTATGGGGCTGAGGGAAAAGAGGGACACAATTCAGCCTGTAACACATGATTTCCTCAAAATTGTACCTATTTACAGTTAGTGTCATCAAAGATCCCCCACAACACCATACCTTGATAATAGTAGATGTGGCAGATATTTTTGAAATACCTCGCCCATATTACCCCTTAACTGGGAATGATTCTACCTACGGTGTTGGGCCCCAAAGCCTTGTTTATATTATACAAAGCCCCTTCTCTGACCATGGCTATTTGGTCAGTAGCTGAAACAATTTGGGACTGTCAGGATCTTTATCCTTTGAGGGTTTAAAATTGGGACTCAAGCATTCACTTGGTTGCCTGAATAGTCTTGATGTTTGGGTACAAATTGAGGCTTTCTCAGTGAGATGATCATCTTCATCTACGTTCAAGGAGAAACTGAAAAAAATCTAACCTTCAGAGACAGAGAGAAATGAGCAAATCAGCAAAGTAAACCAGGCAGCACCAGAGGAAATAAGCCTAAGAGGAGAGAATCTTGGTTCCTGACAGTTTCCAAGTTCCTGGCTTTAATCTCTTGCTATTTCCACTTATATTTCATGTACTTGTGTTCTGGGATACATTCGAGAAAGCTGGAAGTGATTAAATGTCCAGATTCAAGACTCAGACCACTTGGGTTCAAATCTTAGCTGTAATACCTATCAGCTATGTCACCTCAAGCAAGGACATTGAATCACTCTGTGTCTTCCTGGAGATGATAAGAATAGTACCTAACATGTAATGTTGTTTGAGGATAAAATAAATTAATGTATATGAAGCATTTCACCCAGTGCCTAGTCCAGAGTAAGCGCTCAATATATGTTGGCTGATATATAACGTGATCTCCCAGAATGTTAGTTCCATGTATATTAAAACTTTATTGTTTTGTTCTAGGTGCTTAGATCAAAGAATATACCTTGTTGCCTGCTGATGATTTCCCTCTTGAAGCTTAACTTCTGTTGATTGAAATCCAAAGACCCTAGACTGAGATAACATTGGTGAAGCCTAATTGTCCAGTCCGTGAGATCTGAGGTCATAACATTACATGTAATTTTTTAGGCTGGTTCATCAGAATCGATTTGGAACCATACCAAATATTAAACATCTGAGTGAACTAATCAATAGATGGTTCTGGAATGGGCTAGTCTGAAAGCACTGACATGATCATCACTCCCTAACTCATCTAGAATAAATAAGCATAGAAAAGGGAATGCAACTATTACAGAAGAAGCTATTAAGTGGCTGACAAAGGCTGTGCTATTTCAAGTAAAAGGGACAGAAGTTGTGTTTCACTAATACCTTGAAAACTCATACCACTGTAAAACAACAACAGCAAATTGATTATTTCCATGTGACAGGAAAATAGAAGTGAAATACTAACCAAAAATTTCCTCAGGTATTTTCTTTTCTTGGTTCTCCTCCAACCTCCATTTCAGCTAACTAAGCTGTTCTATGCTTATGGCCTCAGAGAAGGTATGTGACCACAGGAAACAGAAAGAGAGAGGAAGAGGAGAACAAGAAGAAAAAGTATTCTTTTCTTGGCTTTTGAGCGTTGGGTATCTAGATTCTCAGATAAGACTGGTCACATAACTTGTGGGGCCCAGTGCAAAATGAAAATGTCAGGCCCTGTTCAAAACAGATTCAGATTGTCAAAATGGTGTCAGCAGAGCCTTAAACCGAGAACACAGCCCTGTCCAACTGCACAAATCACCGATGATCACTCTTCAATAAATGGTGCTGGGAAAACCAGACAGCTACCTGCAAAAGAATGAAACTGGACCACTTTCCACCACCACATCAAAAATAAACTCAACATGGATTAAAGACGTAACTGTGAGACCTGAAACTATAAGCATCCTGGAAGAGAACATAGGCATTTCTCTGGCATTGGCCATTGCAACAGTTTTCTAGATATGTCTTGGAAGACAAGGAAAGCAAAAGCAAAAATAAACTATTGGGACTACATCAAAATAAAAAGCTTTTGCACAGTGAAGAAAACTATCAACAAAACAAAAAAGCAACCTAATGAATGAAAGAAGATATTTGCAAATGACATATCTGATAAGAGGTGAATATACAAAACATACAAAAAACTTTCAACTCAACACCAAAAAAACAAAAACAAAAACAAAAACCCACCACCCCAACAATCCAATTAAAAACTGAGCAGAGGACCTGAATGGACATTTTCCCAAAGAAGATCTGCAGATGGCCAACAGACACATAAGAAGATGTTCAAAATCACCAGTCATCAGGAAACTACAAATCAAAATCACAATTAGATATCACCTTACACCTATTACAAGGGCTAAAATCAAAGAGACAAGAAATAGCAAGTGTTGGTGAGAATGTAGAGAAAAAGGAACCCTCATGCACTATTGGTAGGAATGTAAACTGGTACAGCCACTATGGAAACAGTATGGAGGTTTCTCCAAAA